CCACTGATATATACATTCTAAGTGACTAAAACAATGTTTTCTGAGAATGATTCAAAATTAATGACCTTCATCTACGCCCATAATTTGACGGATATTATCGCCATATCAGGGGCGGATCTAGGGGGAGGGTGCAGGGGGTGCACACCCCCCCCCCCCTCCTGAGATGACCTGCGGTTTTCTAATACAACTGGTATTCTGCAATGTGGTTTATTGGTGTTGAAGTAGAGCAAGAGACGAGTGCACCCCCTCCTAACAAAAATCCTGGGTATATATCTTGACGTGTAACGCAACCACGAGTTCGTGAGAAAAAACAAAATGGAGGGTGAAAGGTAAGTGACGCCGACTGATTTTATTTTTATTTTTATTATCCGAGTTAATCGCCTTGCGAAACCCTGAGTAATGATTTAATTTTTGTACTCAAAATGGCATCGACACGGTTTTGTGATCACGTGAGTTCACTTTTTGATTTACAGTCAAGGCACATCAAGCGTTGCCCCCACAATTCTATCAATGAATTGATCATTTGAAAAATGAATCCGTTAGTTGTTCCCGTAACTGGCGTCAAATTCATATCGGCATCCCTGCATGCGTAATGGGCAGTGAATATTTTACGAGCACTTCCCTGTATCTGGTCAGATTGAAAATCTTTGAATGGATAAAATTGCTTGGAAGACATTTACGTCAAATTCAGGGAAAATGAGGTGGTAGAAAATTTTAGAACTGCCTCTCGTGTCAGGTGGTGTGCGCACTACAATTGCGATGCATTGTGGATTCAAAATTTTCAAGATGGCGGCGAAGGTCGAAAAATTTCACAGGTTATATGCTTTATTTTTCAATAGATACAGTTCTTTCCTTAGATCGTTTTTCTCGATTTCATAAGCTAACATTTGTTTAGATTTTTTCTGTGCAGAAAAACAAATCAATATTCTTCATTTCAATCTAAAACGTGGAGCCCGAAGATTCCTCCTGTAAGAGCATGAAATTCGAACCCGGTTTTTAAGAAGCTATAATTTCCATTGTATTGCCTGTCGAAAGTAGAAGATAGTTGTAAGTGTTTCTACACATCTTGTTCTACGCTAAATTTTTATCGCTCCCCAACGCGCCCCACGTTTTGTGATACTTTTTCCGGATTCAATCCGGCATGTTTTCATGGCAAAATGTAGCCTCGCGAAGACCAATGTGACATGTTACTGGAAGTGTTACTGTTGTAATCACAAGCTGATCACAAAATAGCCGGGCAGCAGCGACTGGATCCTCCAAACAATAGCATTAGGTGAGCATAAAATGTTCGAAATTGGTATATAAATAGGCTGATGAGTACTCTGATGTAGGAATGTCTGTTTTTGTAATAGGACTAAAAAAAGCATAATAAAATTGCAGTCATACATGTGATTCCCTTTATGCAGGTATAAAATTAGTAGAATAAGAATTACAGGTAATGAATTAAATGATAAGTTTGATTATACAGTTAAACCCTGTGCATTTTGAAACCAGCCATCCTTTATGAAAAATGGTTTTTGGGAGAATTTGCAAGAATAGTGCAGTGTAGAAGAAGAATTTCATAACATCCACCAAGCTTGCACTTTACTTTTATTCAGAGAAATATGCACATCACTCCTGAGAAAAGAAAATCGTAATCTACTTCCAAGATTGGTGTGTGTTGTTGTGTGGATGTTATGACTGTCAGTTTCTTGCCTAGTCCCTGTTTTATTCAGTGGTGATTAGCCTCTGTAGCAGGCATTTAAAAGGAAAGGGAAAGAGGTTTTGGGCACAAGAGAAATGGGAAGAGTGCATGAGGAAGGAGGGAGTGATTTCAACATTCACCTGGTTGATCTTTATAATGCAAAAAACAATTAGTCTCCTGTTTGGCAGGCTTTTCCCTCCCTCCTTCCCTCACATTTCTCTTACACCAAGACCCACTTTCCCTTTTCTTTAAAATGCCTGCCACACAGGCTAAGTGATGTCATTCAATCTGTGTACCCGTTTACACTCAATATAGATCAAGCAATTTGCATATTTTGGTGACTTTAGTTAAAATATAAATTGCTTGATCATTGAATGTACTTTTGATATTGGAAAACCAAGGCTGAAAAAATGGTGACAGGGAAAGGAAATAGAAAAAGTGGAACAATGGGGCAGCAAAATCATCAGACTAAGAACCTGAATTAATTATAACTAAGTAAGCCTAAACAGATTCTTATATAAATAGTAGTTAGCACAAGTTTAGGCTATTTAGGTTTTTAAATGGGTTCATATTTTCTGAAGAAAAAATGTAAATGTAACTAAGAGTACTTTTGTTTCACCTTATTCCTTATATAAAGTCTGCATACCAAATTAGAAGTTATGTGAGAATGGACATAAAACGAGGAGTGTACATTGCAGTTAGAGTGTTAAGACAGCTTTGTCTCCAAAGAAGATCCTAAATGTTGATTTATCTCTGCTAAAGTGTACAGAATTTTTTCATAGATTTCAAAAATAAGAACCTGTCTCCAATTTTAGGCTAGACAGGTTTTATATAAAGGGGGCTCATCTGGCATATTTTAGCCTAACAGGTTCTTAAAATTCAGGTTCTAAGTCAGGGGGTTTGACTGTACTACTAGGATCCACCTCTGCAATAACTTGTAACCCAAAAGCTGTCTTTACGGACAACCGCTTCATACAGACACCTGATCAAGGCTGTGCTCTAGCAGAACCCTGTGGCCCCTGGCACCTAACTTTTGCTTTTGGGTGACTAGAAAATCTCAGACTTTTCATACAAATCAGTTAATTACAGTTCAGAGAATTGGGCTCCTTTCAATGTTCCTTAGAGCACAGCCTTGCCCATTATTACAGACAGCTTGCTTTGTTCCTTGGAAAAAAGCCCTTAAATTTTTCTCTAAATTAAGATGGGCAATTTCTACGGTCCACTCAGTGCCTGTATAACAGAGTTGACTGTGAGTATGATGAGACCTATGACGCCATATTTAAATTATAAAATTGGGGTGAGGAGAAAGGAAAGGGTCTCAAGCTATGTTGCCCCAGCCCTGATTACAGGAGATTTGTAAACATGTATGAATTTCACACTTTGAAGAGTTTTTATAATCCAAAAAAATAGGTGCAGATAACATGTGTTTGTACATACTGACACAATCATTAAACAAATAGTGGCTGAAGCTTTTAAAATCACAAATAATCACAAATATGCCATTTTCAGTTTCAATCCAGTTATAAGACATTCTATGACTCATACCAATAGAAAATATATGGGCAAATAAAAATGCTCAATGTTATATTATCTATAAAGAGGACACAAGTTCATTGTACACAAATACTCTCTACTTTATTTACTTGTCTTCATGTGATGACAAATACAGATGTTAAGCAAAACGAAATGCAGACTTGGTGGCAACAGAGAAACAAGTCCTTGAAAGGATGACCCCCTCAACTTCGATTCTCTTATTACAGCTAGCAAGTGAACATCTTGCAATGCTGAATGACAAAACAAAATAAGCTCACTGTGTTTAAATACCGTGGCCGGGTATTCTGACGAAGCTCTTAGTATTTTTATGAGTATATCACAGCTATGCATATCAGTACCTCTTAGCGCTAGTTGCACTGATTTCACGGTGAATTCAAAATTTTCGGCGAACCGCGGCTCTTACCTCCAGTGCTTTTCATGATTGAAGCATTGAACAAAGCGTTTCTGTGCCGACTTTTCTCGGTCAGTTGCAAATAGGATGCAAGTGATAACGAACAAAATACACCAGAATACACTTATCAACGGAATGAGACTGTTTTTTCCCTGAGAATTGGACAGACTTTCTTTTTCAAGAGCTTCCGGAAGAGATTCAAAGCAAAATCGTATATATCTAAAGGGTAATTAACGAATATTCACTCCGTAGTCGAGATCTTCACTCCACGCCATCTTGACACAACTGATCAGATTTTGAATACCGCCCATGATGCTTAGCGATCGTAGTGCGCACACCACCTGCTCGCGTGTGAATTCACGGCTCATTACGGATGAAAGAATGCAGAGATGAAACTGAAATCTACAACTACCAACGGATTCAACTTTTGAATAATAAATTCATAAATGGAATCTTGCTGGGTACGCTTGACCTGGCTTGACTGTAACAACGAAACCACGTCTGAACCTAGAAAATTTTCAACGTTTGTCGTCACGCGTATCATCGTATCTTTACTGATTATTGATTATTCTTGAGGCAGTATTCGTATTTGCAACATCCTGGTTGTTTACCATTTACACGGGCAAACCGGTCGGTCTACGGTCTGGGCAAATGCCGGTACGCAAACACAGTTCAGGACTGGTAAATTTCGCCCCGGAATCTCGTTTGCCATTTATGCAAATCAGTTCCATTTACCGGAAAACGACCGCGAAAGCCTGAAACTGGTATCAAAGATGGCTTTGAAGAAATGGAACACGAATTTCCGTTTGGAATCAGTATTCCATCCGGACAAACAGGACTACCTTTTCAGATGTTCCGTTTCCGCTGGGAAGACCCAGAAAGTCGTGCTCCATTTACTTTCCAACCAGATTTCCCAGAAAATGTTTGTAAATGGTAAACAACCCCTGACGCAATCGTCTCCTCTTCTTCCGTTGATCAAAAACCCGAGGACTCTGGGTACGAAATTGTGTATGATGCATTAATAAGCTTGCTTGCATCATTTCCCAGGTCAGTTAGCACCCTAGTCGCCTCGTGCAACACGATCGCTCGTTGCTGTGTTGAAGTATTAACATTTCAGACTCTTCAACGGCAGCTTTTTTAGGAAGGCAGTCTTCTTGGTGACTACTAACTTAAAGGTAACTTAGCTAACTTTACTTAAAATTGCATGCAACAAAAGTTGATATTTTGGACCCAAGGGTCACTGGGAATATTACTATTTAACATTCCACGAGGGAATCGAATTTAAGGCTTGTAAGCTTACTTTTAATTAAAAATTTTCGATCCTGAGAAAGAAACATGATAGTTTTCTGTTATTTGTGTCTTTGAAACAGCAGAAACTCGAGAACTACTGATTTGGGATCATCGTCAAACGCAATGAATTGGTAAGTAATCTCTGCTTCTATTAGTCTAAACGGTCAAAAGAAGTATTCTATTCTAACGGACTGAATTTTTTCTCCTACAAAAACTAATGTGCGGATTTATGCATGTTCTACTATTATCGTTTGAGTCTGTTCTTTGAATTGTAGAGAATTACTCTGGTACTGTAGTTTCACTTTTCAAACCTATTACCGTTGGTTGCGCGCGACTTAGAAAAGCGCGCTAAAGTTTCTTGGCGCCAACTTGCCAGATTTGTAAAAGTCGAGCGGAGGTTTTTCAGTCTCGTAACAGACTGAATTTGTCCCCCTACAAAACCTAATTTGCGGAGTTACACATTTGCTACTACCACCATTTGAGCCTGTTCTTGAAATGTGAAGAATTTCTCTGTTAGGTTTACGTTCGAATTGTATAGCGGTTGGTTGCGTGAGACGGTTAGAAAAGCGCGCTCTTTCCTGCGCCTAATTTGTAAAAGTTGTCATATTTTTGACGCTACGCCTCCAATACAGACAGAACATTGGTAAAATAAAATAGCCATTGAGAGAATGGATGTGGTTTCATATTTTTGCCCTACTTTTTAGCTTAACTAGTAGCAATCATGCTTATTTCATGATACACATTTTTTTTTGTTATTCAACAACCCTTATTTAACGTACAACCCTCTTGAATATTCAACAAACTGAAAGTGCAGGGAGGGCTTGTTAACGTAGCAGGGAAGAGCGCGGCTGATGAATTGATTTCATAACTATTAATTAGGAATTTATACAGATAAATAAATAATATAAGCCCCCCAACAAAAGGGCCTTTGAAAAATGTAAGCCCCGGGGCTTATTTTCTGAATTTTACGGTTGCGTCATAGATCACTGCGCCAGTCATAACAACGGAAACACGGCGCCCATAATTTTAGTTTCATTAGACCTTATAGTAAATTTTGTAGTTTGAATTGGTTTTTGTCCTACTATCGATAGATAGATATCTGAATTTACACTATTCATTTAATGACGGTTCCTTTTTAATAGATGGCCTTGCACCTGGCATTAAGACATTGCTTTGTTAAAAGAGTTAGCTTTCGGAATTGCGAAATCTTCCCCCACAAAAAAAACTTATCGCGAATCTTAATGCGAAATGCTAGCGGTGAGGGTAAAAGGCGGAATGAGTTTGCGGAATGGCATGTGGCACGGCTTGCGGAATGACATAATTATGTGTAATGTAAAATATGGAAAATGGCGCAAAGAAATAAATTAAACTGAAAAACATGTGCGCGTCTTTGCCGCTCCTTTTTTTGGTGCCAATTTGAGTGAGCAACTTTTTTGCAGGCTCATTTATTACTGCTGGCTTAAACCAACAAGGCAGAGCAGAAAGTAGCGATAAGCTTTACTGCATTCGTGTCTATGCAACACTTTAAATATTTGATACTTAATCTATTTTTGTTCCTTTCGACAATACTTTCTCTCTCTCTGCCCACCATTATAATAAATTCAAATGTCAAAACGCTAGAGGAAAAAGAACGCTTGCTGAACGTGAAGTCAGGCTAGCTACAATTCTAGGGATTATTAATGAATCTGGTGGACGGATCAGATCATATTTGAGACTAAATGAACGCCCCGAGTCAAACATTAATCTGTAATCCAGAAATCGAGTGAAGCGAACTGCTTTCTGTCTCGTTTCGGTCTTTCCGCCTGTCTTCGCACCTTCCTTGTTTGTGTGAGTGTGTTCGTTTGATCGTGAAAAAATGCTAAAACGGTACGAAAGGGAAAAAAATGAAAAAAAGACACTCACTCAATTGCCAGGATTCGAACTCGCCTTTCTGTGCCAGCTGTTAGCTTCGCGTGCCGGAAACTCGTTAACCAAGCAGCTCAGTAAGGAAACGAAATACAAGATCTGTTTTCATCTCTCAGTGAATATTATGTCACGAGCACGTAACCCACCGTCTAAAAAAAAAAACCACTTCTCACATGGTTGCAAATACAAATATAGGTAAAAGGAAACTGTAAAGTTCATCGTGCAAACATTTTTGCAGAAAAAAATTAATTAAGTAGAAGGGAGCCTGACCTTCCAAAACATCTTTTCTTCAATGGCCGACTTTCGTGCTGTAGTATCGGTGCTGCCATGCAGCCCGACTAATAAAGGCAAGAAGAATTTTTGTGGCTGTGCGGAAAAGGCTAATCGACAATGAGCCCTCGTGGCTTTTTGATTGTCATCGTATGTCACCATGAAAACAGCGGCTGCGTTTGCAAATTGATTGGCGCCAAAAAAGGACGCACTTTTCAATTTAATTTATTTCTTTGGGTCATTCTGCATATATTACATTCCACAAAATTATGTCATTCCGCAAGCCATGCCACGTGCCATTCCGCAAACTCATTCTGCCTTTTACCTTCACCGAAATGCTAGCAGCATACGCTAAACTGCAAACCGCAAACTGTGACTTCAATCACAAACAGTTAATGTTTGAAAAGTAACACCACGCCTTAAATTCGTCAGACTTTAACTGAGATGGATGCAAAAGGTAGTATGCCATAGCTACGGTAAAAGTCTAATTACGCGATGCTAGTTTAGGCACGGCATTACAAAAGCTCAAACTTGTAGACCTTGGTTTACTTGTGGGCCAATTTCTGATAGTCAATAAACAGTTTTGTTAATATCGATACTGAGCATTTGACAAATATCTGACAAACATAAACGGTTAACGTAAAAGAAAAAGATGATTTCTTGTCAATTGATGTTAAATTTGATCGTGATTTGATGCTACAGTTCGATCTCCATATATCATAATTTATTAAAAAATACTGTTTGGAAGGTAAAAGAGGACTTATGTCGCATGTACACTATTTGTTATTGCTTAACAGGGTTGAAAAGAACACAGTGCAATTTTTGACAATACAACTATTTCGGTACAAAGAAGTGAAATGTACTGTTAACAGTAGTATTTCGTTTAAGCAGAAATAAATCTTAAGTGAAATCTTTTTTTAAGATCTAAGTGACAAAAGTGGATTTTCTATAATGCCCCCCTCACCCAAACATTATTGGTCCTTCTAAGCATTTGAAGGTACAGTGGAATCCCGTCTTTTCGAACCTTCCTTTTTTTACCAACTCGGAAACGCCAACTCGGAAATGATATGCAACCCAAAGGAAATTGGTTGATAGTTTCTAGGCTTAAATTCATCTCCTGATTTAAAAGCTGGAACTACTTTGGCGGTTTTAAGTTTAGCTGGGAAATAGCCTGAGGATACTGAAACATTAAAGATTTGAGCTAAGGGCTGAGAGATAATATGACTAGACAATTTCCAAAAAACTGGCTGGGCATGAATAGAGTCTATAGGCTTTGTTATTTGGCAGCTCTTTGATTTCAGCTTCGACTTCTGCAGGGGCAAAAGGGTCAAAGAAAAAGAGCTTTGTATTGGTGGATGTAAAAAGGTACTAAAATCATGATCTGGCGACGAAGAAGGGTTAAAAGAAGCCAACTTATGTCCAACAGTTGCAAAAAAGTGTTAAGAGAAAATAATTACTTATTTCTTTGTTATCAATTTTTAACAGAATATTTGAACTGCTGGTTTATAAAAGACTTAATATTAAGTTAGTAAGTCAATATACTATATTCATCACAATATGGACTCCGCAGTAAACATAGTACACAACACGCTACTCTAGAAATCCTAAATGACATTCTTACTAGTTTTGATAAAGACCAATTTACTTTTTGTTTATTTATTGACTTGAAAAAGGATTTCGACGGTTAATTATGATATTCTTCTCTCAAAACTCGAAAATTATGGCTTTAGAGGAGAGGTAAATGATTGGTTTAAGTCGTACCTAATTGGTCGTAGACAGTATACGACTGTTAATGGTTATATATCTGATGCTCATCAAACCCTCTGTGGAGTGCCTCAAGGTTCTGTTCTGGGACCCTTGCTTTTTCTCTTGTGTATTAATGAGCTATATAAATCTCCAAATAAGCTTCAGTTTTACTTGTTCGCCGATGATACTAGTTTAACTTATACAAACGGAGATCTTAAAAAAACTTGAAACTGAGCTGATTAACGAAGAACTTTTCAAAGTGTGCTCGTGGCTAGTGGTCAACAAATTAACCTTGAATATCGAAAAAACTAACTATAGCATCTTTCGTCCACGTCAAAAGACTATTCCTTTTCATCCTAATATCAAAATAATTAATATAGATTTCGCCCGGGCTAAAAGCGAAGCCTCCGTTTCTATACTTATGATAAAAGCAATCAAATTTAGACTAGTAACATGAACTCCAAGCCAAAAAAGAAAAAGAAAAAGAAATAAGGAGCCTTCGGCATCAGTTCACCTTTAGACAGAAGGGCTAAATTATTACGAAGAAATATCCCGCAAACAAACCTGAATTGAAAAAATTGTGAAATTGTAGGTCTCTTCAGTAGCAGCAATGTACAGGTTACGATTTCTAGGGTCAGTATTTCTGTCTTAAAGGGAAGACCTAAAAGGAAAAATGGGGCCGACTTAGGGACTTTCGTGTTCTCATTATATTTTGTTTTCTCTTTTTTTAAGCGTGCCCGTACCACCAGTTTTTATCGTGGGTGGAGACAAATTGGCTGTCTGTGAACAGTAAGTATCCTGGAAAGTCTCATACAATTTATTGTAACGTTGTTACAGTAAATAGGCCACTTCCGAGTTCCAAAAACCTTCACTTTCAAAATTAGGCTAGGTGCACAACCTTTCTTGTGAAAATGAGCTTTATTTGCTTGAGAGTGAAAAATAATTTCCATATCAAAGGCTGAGCACCTAACCACGTTATGACACAGAGGCCCGGGGGAACTCGGAAGTGGCCTATTGTAAGGGACTTTTGAAGCACTTCAAGCAGTATCCGAGCGAAGTGTTATAATCCTTTTCTTATAACACGGATTTGATATTTAATTTCCTCTATACAAATGCGATTACCGGTCTATGCTTGTCATCAAGTTGTAATAAATGCGTCTCAATTTTCGCGAGAACAATGAGGCTTGTGTTTATTTGCTGTCGTCTGGTTCTCAGTAGCACACACTTTGGCAAACGAGATAATTTAAAACTAGTAATAGTTGACACTACAGCTGCCCCCGCTCTGTATATAGTATTCTTGCTCCTTGTGTAGGTCTTTGAAATACAGCTATTTCGAAAAAGGTTGTCGGAAAAAGTGCACGCGACAATCCCGAAAGGTATGCTGGGTGGTTTTGAGATAACTGTTCTTCATAGAAATTTTGAAAGAATGGCGCGATAGGCCATGGACTATGTTTCCCAGCGCTAAAGCGAAGCAGCAAAAGTAGGTTCGACAGCTACATAGTGTCAGAAACAGTGTATTGATCATATCCCATAGTACCTTTCGGGATTGTCGCGTGCACTTTTTTCCGACAACCTTTCTCGAAATAGCTGTATACCGATTCATAATGAAGATGTTCACACATATTCCATACAATAGGTGAGATAAATACAGGAAATAAACGCAAGGTTCTATGCACAGTTTCGGTTCGATTTACCCAGCTTTGATCAAAACATTCTCAGTTTCCGGAATAGTTAATTCTAAACCGTAAGAAAAGATTTAATTAGAGGTTTAATTTTTCGCTATTTCTATTTCACTTTTTACACTTAGTTCATTTCATTTGCCGGAAAGTAAGCCATAGAAATTAAAAGGACGTTTGATTAATTCACGCTCGCGCATTCTAGTCTTATTTTAAACTTTACTAGCGGAAGGACATCTGTGAGCAAGGAATAAGTCAGCACAGAATTTGATGGTCGGCGAATTTCTGTAATCGTCCATCGTTCTGCTAGAGATAAGCTAGCCGTTGAATCATTCACTCGTCTTGCTTGTTTTGGGCCGAGTCTTGTTCAGGTCAAAGAGAGAGAAAGGTGTCTGGCAAGGTTCAGCTGGCAAAGTCACTTAGTGTTAAAATATACACTGTTCTACGCACCTTATAACTTCATCTACGCTTAACGAGTGTCTTTTGGTCCATAACTTTCATAACAACTGCTCCACAGAATGTCACAAAATCTACCTATTGTAAGCTGTTCCTTAATAATAATAATAATAATAATAATAATAATAATAATAATAATAATAATATACAGTATTTATAGAGCGCTAATTCCCAATGGTCCAAAAGCGCTTTACATAATGATTAATTACATAATGATTAATGATTAATCATATTACTAATTATTAATAATGATTAATGATTTTTGTGTTTTACGTCATCCTAAGCAGTTCGTACTTACGGGCGCAAACAATAGAATCGTCATCATTAACTACCGATTCCTCGCGGCCCCTGTTCAAGCAAATCGAGATTTTTTCTATATTGACTGTATGACTGTATATTTCAACTGTAAGTACTTTCTTTAATATACGCGCGAGTTACTAGAGTGCCTCCTCGGGATTTCGCCTCCTGGGCGAAATCCCTGCGGGGGCAATTATTTGGCTCGGTAGTCACGGTGAAGACTCTAGTTAGAAAAAAGTATTATCCTTCAGTGCCGCCGTTTTGCGAAAAACGCGAGGCGCAATACGGACATATTCAATTTCTTCCAAAGCTGTCATGGCTAAGCTGTAATGCCGTCACAACTAAGATACATTAAGTTTATATCGCAAAAAAAGGACAGTGCTGGCCAAAGTAAAATTATTCCTTTCGAGGAATATATTTTTATCGATCGCTGCGAATTAAGCCGCGAAAATAAAAATGAAAAAACAAAACCGGATCGAAAAAAATAAACGAAATCACCAAAAAACCGTTTTGGGAGAGTCGAAGGGATTTTATTAGATAAGCTTCGAAAATTGTACATGAAAGGAACGGTCATCTAGAAATTTTTAGCCTTCCTCGAGTTATAGAAAATTTTAGGCAATTTTTGCCTCTCCGAACAGATATTTCAGAGGAAACAGTCGTTGGGTGCCCCTGAATAAATACAAGCTCGCTGTTCCAAAACCCGCGCCGTATTTTATAAAAGAAGCCTTTCTCATAGCGGAAATGTGTTGTGGAACAGCTTGGCCGTGGAGGTGTGGCAATTGACATCCCTTTATGTTTTTAAAGGAAAATTAAGAAACTTTAATTTAGAGATATGTAATATTTTAACACGGCCTCCTTGTAAAGCATGCTTTTTATTATTATTGTTTTAGTACCTGAACGAAATACCGTGTATAAGTAACGTTACCTTACCTTACCTTACCTTACCTCTGTGATGTGCGTAAATGGTTTTGGACAATAGACTTCCTTTGACTATAAATCGTGTGCTTTAAAACGTTGTATGTAGCTATAAAGGAGTAGTCAAAGTGCCATGTGTATTGTAGCATCACATCGTTTTATGGAAAACGTGTTGCTATCTGATGTACACCTATGACAGTTTATGTTTCTAAGCTCTGCCTAAAGAACACTGGGTTACACTGCACTCATGGGTGCGCCACCTGAAGTGCAGCCTATGTTTGTTAGCTATACCTTAAGAATTACTAGGTTACAGTGTACTCATGGGTGCGCACCTAAAGTACAGCCTACGTTTGTAAGCTCTACCTACAGAATCTCTGGGTTACACTACACTCATGGGTGCGCCAGATAAAGTACAGCCTAAGTTATTTTATTTTATTAGATTCGCCAACTATTGGCAGGGTCACCGCAACAGCATGACGCCAATTACCGCGGGCCCGTAACAGTCCCCCCACCCCCCCCCCCCCCGCCCCCATGAGAGGACCACACCACACCGGGGACTACGTCCCCTACTCTTTACGAACAGTGTATGGGTTCTTTAACGTCACACAGAATTTATATATGCAAAGGTTGTGAGACGGGGCCCACGGTTTATCGTCCTTATCCGAGAAGACTAGAAAGTCTAACCGTTTGCAGATGTCTTTACAAAGGCAGCACTTTCTCCTCAGTTATTTAAAGACCCTGAGTGTTAGTCCGGCCTGGACTTGAACCAGCGGCCTCCCGCTCGGCAGACCGGCGCTTATCCAACTGAGTTAACCGGGCGGCGGTTGTTGCTGGCTCTACCTAAAGAATCACAGGGTTACACTACACTCATGGGTGCGCCACCTTAAGTGCAGCCTATGTTTGTTAGCGCTACCTACTGGTAAAGAATCACTAGATTACACTACACTCATGGGTGCGCCGCCTAAAGTGCAGCCTACAATAGTTTGTTAGCTCTACCTAAAGAATCGTTGGGTTACACTGAACTCACAGGGCTTAAAAAGTTCTCGTTTGGCCCCCAGTCTCTTCAAAGAAAAAAGCTACAGTCCGTTTTGCCAAAAATTAAGCTTTGTTTTCACTAAATTTTACACCATATTTTGCCCCCCAAAAAGTAGAGGAGTTTTTTGCTAGGGTTAATCAAGTTTGGCTTTCATGAGTTTCAATACAAAGGTGCAAAGCTGTGCAAAAAAATTATCAGCATAATTATACCACGGAAACACTATCATCTAATTCCTCGCAGGTAGCCGGAATAAGCCAACTAATGAAACATTTAATGAAAAATCGTCCTCAAATGGTCTCGATAACTAAATTATACTACTTACTTAGCGAAAGAAACTATTGTTTGTATCCGTGTTACCCATCGAAAAAGCGAGGAGTTATCCCATGACATTAGGTATAACAGAGATAATTCTCACGGGTTTCAAGAATTCTATGCCCTATTTTTCGCCAGGAAACAAATTTTTAAACTTCAATTCTTACCTTACAGTAGTCGGTAATGCCGTTATTTTACCTTGCATTCAACAACAAATTAAAGGCGAACAAAGCGATGAAATCCGGCACTCTTCTTTTATAAGTAGCACGCCGCACGAAGTAAAATCGACCGATATGCACTGCATTCTCACAACAAATATAAACAAATGTCGTGGAGAAAATACGACGAGGTAGAAAACATGCCATATCTTCGCCTCGGCAATGTATCCCAGATACCAAGCCAGCGTATCTGCAGAAGGTGGACTCGAAGTCAGAGGCCTGAAATTCATCCGATTGCTTCGAGTCGTTTTGTCCTCTCAACAACGTCTAAATCGACCGGCCGTTAATGCCGTCCAGTGACGTCACTCACTACCCGAAAACCGGGTAGTGATTTTGATTGGTTGATGGTTTAAACTTTTTCATAATTATGCATAATTATGAAAAATTTTAGCGGGATTGTCGCTTGATATTCAGCGGATCGCATCCATAACATTTCCATAAGCTTAATATTTATCTTAAACAGCAAAATTGCCCTTGTCTTCGAAACTGTGAAATGCTAAATTGAACTGCGAATGAAGAATCATTGCGGAGAGTCGGTAGGTTTTTCATTTAGAGCCGCTTTGTGGTTTCGGCGGCCGGTGATTTGTTTACGCGAAGTGTTCTGAGATCAATGTTATAATTCGACCTTCTTGCTATTTTCACCGTCAAGTGTAATGATTCTGTTAGCTTTTCTTTCTTGTTTCCTTGTCTTTCTTCTTCGTTAAGGACTAAATAGCCTCTTTTCAATTAAAGCAAATCATTGTGCTTTTGAACTAAGTGTCTCGCGTGTGTGTGTTTATTTCATTGCGTGATTGCGACCGAGTTTGATTATAGAATTCAGTACAACCGGTTCAGAGTTGTACTGCATGCAGTTGATAGTTTGAACGTTAAAAAAGGAATTACGATCGAAAAAAATAAAGCAATTCTGTATCATGCAGACATTTCCAAACGATATTTCTAAGTTTACCACTTGTATATCGTGTTTTACTTGTTGCATGAATTAAAGCAAAGGCCAAGGAGTAGTGACGTCACTGGACGGCATTAACGGCTGGTCGATTCAGACGTTACTGAGGGGGTAATAACGACTCGAAGTAATCGTATGAAATTCAGGCTATCAGAGACAAACCTTAACTTGTGATTTTTTTACAAGGCCTTTGCGTGCAAACTAATTTATTCTGGCGCGAAAGGAAGATTAACAAAATGTATACTGAAACCTAATACACGACAAGAAAATTTTCGCACTTTCGAGAAGCGCGACATATTAAATGGGATTAAGTCGGATTAGCTGCCCGCGAAGAAAACACCTCTGCGTGGGATTGTACTTCCAGTAAAAGCCATTTGTGTCCCCTCATGAGCCTTTTACATTTTAACCTGAGATCAGGCCCAATTTTAGCGGTTCTCATACATTCTCTCCATCTCTAACGGTTACCGCTATTTTCGTTTCGCCTTGCCCGACGGAATGTTATTTTCAAAGCGTAACGAAAATTGAGCCTGATCTCTGGTTATTTACATTTATACAACCTCGATAGAAAGTTTTACCATAAGGTGTATATTTTCTTTGAGGACAGACATAGAAAACCAAACGATAACCTTTTTTGATACTAATAACTATAACGAATCTTTACTACTCAAACTGTGCGGTTCGTGTTGAAAGAGTTCTCCTCTAAGTAGCGACAGATCTATGGGCTTTTCGAACCCGCGTTTTCTCCTTTTTTTTAAAAAAAAGTTGTTATTATTTTTCCCAGGTATATCCTTGCAAGCTTTTTTCCCTCGAAATCAGTCTGCAGGATATTTTTTTCCTGAAATCACCCATAACCCTCTCAAAAGTTAAATGGTCGGCACCTAAAATCCGCCAAACACCTCCTCAGTTGACAGATTCTGATTTGTCATTCACTTCTAAAGCCTTTGAAACAATAGGGGACAAAATTCTCAAGGGGAGAGGGGAGAAATTCGTTTCTACTTATCTACCAAACATTCTCGGATAGATAGTTTAACAAATTTTCTTAACCATGGTGCACCGCTGCGCGCGCGAGAGCTCCGCTAATAATAATTCAAATGCCAGTCAACCGTTAGAAATAAAAAATTATATTAGATATCTTGGTATACTCATTGATTCGAACCTTTCATGGAAATTTCATATAGATTACATTTGTCAAAAAGTCAGTAAAACAATCGGAATTATCGCCAAGCTCAGACATTTTGTTCCCCGTTATGTACTTCTCACTTTATACCGCTCCTTATTTTTACCCTATATCAGCTATGTTATCTGTGCTTCGGGTCATGTTGCTGAAACGCATCTTCATAAACTACTAGTTCTTCAGAAGGGAGCCCTTAGGCTAATGTTCTTCGCTGATCCAAGAACTCATGCAGTTCCGGGATTGTTCTTAGAAACAATTGAAAACAGTTGCCGCGTTGTTCTTGCTGTTGGAGCAAATGAGCCTTTTGATGTACGATGTCCATAATAATCTCGCTCCTGCATGATAACATTAAAAATATGTTCACGAAACTATCTTCTGTCCACAATTATAACCGGACTAGATCTGTTACTAATGAAAATTACTATGATTAACAAGTTAGAACTGAAAATTTGAAGCAAGCCATCTCTATTTTCGGAGCTATCATTTGGAACAGTATTCCACTTTCTATCAAAACACTTTAAAAAAATCAACTTATAAGCGAACTAAACGGAAAACTCTTTGAAATATTCGAAAAGAAGACGACTATATTAGAGTTTCTGATATTAGAGTGCAATTCTCAAAATCATAACATTGTGTACTTTCGGTATTAACTACAGTCTGCCTTCCTGTCTCACTCGGGCTATAAACCACGGGACAAACTAGATTGCTTCTAGGATTGCTCGTTTAATATTTATACCTGGATTTTTGAAAACCGGGTTCGCAAAAATATCAACTCATTCTACTACTTGGCAATTTAAAACAACAAAACTCATTCAAAGGCCGATTAAAAGCCTTTATATGAGACCGGGCAGTATGTTAATGGTCCCTAGAAGCATTCCAACGAGTCCAAATTTAAAATGACGCAAATTTTAGAACATTTATTCAGTAAACTGACTTCGCGAAGTTTAAAGGCGGTGTCATTTCAGATAGTAATTCTGTCTACATCCACTTCTACACAAATCCCTAACCACAAGACAAGCCAAAAAAATACGATATAAGCAAACAACACAGTAAACAAGCTATTAGACAGGGGAGGTTGAGAAAAATTACAAAATGTTTGCTAACCCGGTTTTCATAACTCCGGGTAGATATATGTATATATTTATTATAGAATTTTCTTTTTTTCTCTTGTGCCCGCCTCGAATAGCCCTCGCTAATTGTGGGCACGAGCTTTGTAAGCTATACTTAACTTGAAGTAAACTTGTTGTTGTTTTTCCTGATAATTCGAAACAAAGTGAATCTAACTTTCCTTCAATAGTCAAACACTGTATTTTGCCCCCAATTTTTCAAACCTACCGATATAATAATTCGAACCAATTTCCGTTTCCTAAGGTGGTTCGAAAAATCGAGATTCTACTATACTAGGAGTGTCAGTTGACAGTTAACTGAACCTCTTATTCGGACCATTAACCAACTACTTGAACATTCTCTATATGAAGTGTGAAACGTTTCTTTTTCTTTCAGAGAATACGTATATACTACAACCAGGAAACATTCCAATTTTGTGAATTCACCCATGGCGGGCAAGCCAGTTACAGCGTTACCAGGAATCGGTCCAGCTTGGGGAAGACGGCTAAATGAAAAAGGATTTTTATACGCCACTCAAATCTTAGGCCAATACCTCCTGTTCAATCAAAATCCACAAGATTTTATACCATGGTTACAAAACCTATTTGGAATTTATAGGGGTTGGTGTGTTTACAACGCCTTGCTTGTCTGGTGCCAGCATCATCTGTAATCGCAAATTCCACACCACAACTGGCCACGCTGTTTAAATAACTAATCTGTGGAACTAATGTAAACGAACGGACAAAAATAGACTAAAAATTATCCATGTTCCAGCTCTGCATCAGCAATCTTCAAACTACATTCAAGACCTTATCACCCGCTACTTACCTTCTAGATCGCTTCGGTCATCCTCTACGCTCAGTCTGAATCCTGTCAGCTTCAACCTTAAGACCTATGGATCTAAAGCATTCTCTGTCACAGCCCCCGAGCTTTGGAAAAGACTACCTGACGACATACGTCCATGCGAGAATCTAAGTCTTTTTAAACGCAAACTTAAAACCTACCTTTCTAAGAACTTTTACTTTAGTCATTAGGAAGACTAATGTTCTTCTTCTTCTTCTTATGTTGTTGTTCATTTGAACTAAAGTTGTATTGACAGACGTCTTGTCGAGATTTGTTGTTGTTTTTCTTTATTAACTTTATTTTTCTGCTTAATTAACGATTCTGCAAACAGTATACATGTTATACATTACTTAACCTTATACAATATACTTATGATAGGAAGGATTTCCTCAGAGTGTTTTATTTTGAAGTCAGGACGCGCTTATTAGCTATTAGTGTTTAAACTAAGAAGCGTTAAGCTGGTAATTAATGACATTTGAAAGTTTTAGCTTTGGCTCTTTTCGCTTCAGACATAAGATTTTTATAAGACATTTTACTGTTTACAATTAGCTGCATTCAGCCGTGGCGGTTCGTGCTATTTTTGAAATGCCTTGTTTTATGCTTTGCTTAATAACCCTACAAAAGCCAACAGCGGCCTATTCTTAGTACAAGCAGAACAAACCTAAGATTATTTAATAGTATTAGTTCACTTTTAGTAATGATTTCTAAAAGTATTGGTCTTCTGAATAGTAGTGCTTTACTTTAACAGGGGCACCCAACGACGGTTTCCTCCTACACACATTTAAAACACTTTTTAGGCTATCCAGAGAACATTTAGGTATCTAGAAATGCATTATAAGCGGCGCTAAAAAATTTGTACCTGTTCGGTCATCCCAGGGCAATTTGAGTCTGTTCGAAATTATTAGGGCTACAGTATTACTTTCCCGAAAATTTAAGATGCAATTCAACGTTTTACGAAAGTGGGAATTTTTCAAATTCTTCTCTACATCGCATTTTTGAATCCGAAAATTTTAAGTTCCCTTTTTACTATGAAAAATAGCCAACCTGGGGAGTAAAATGTGAAAAATTAAACTTCAGAAAATCGTAGCGGATTTATTGGAAAAGCTTCGAAAATTGTACATGAATGGAACAGTCGTCTAGAAATGTTTAGCCGTCCTCAAGTATTAGAAAATTCTAGGCAATATTTGCTTCTCCGAACAGATATTTTGCAGAAAACAGTCGTTGGGTGCCCCTGACTTTAATTATTTTTCTTAATTGGCTTGTTCTACAACAGAGCGGCATTTCACTGTAACACCTTGTTAAGCGAATGTAGCTCGTCTTTGATTGAAGTATTCTTGAGCGATCACGTAGTTTCTCTGCAAATATAATAGTTCTTAGTTTACTTCCGTAAATAGTCGCTTCGTCTAAATTTAGAATTTCAAACGTTTTGCTGACCTGCAATTCGGAAAATGTCTGCTTTTGTTGAGGGTGAAAAACTAGGCAATTAGACAGTCCTGCTATGTGCCGTTTGTATTCACATAGCGAAAATACGTGCCTAAAAACCTCCTTGCTGACTTGGCAAACTTCGCTAGTTTATTGTTCTAGTACTTTTTAGAATCTGCAACAATAATTTTCGCTTAACTTCGAACGAGTGTGTTTGTATATCTATTGTACTCTTTTTTATTGAGTACCTGTGGTAATGGTACATAAGTAATTAACTTACAAATAGTTTGTTGTAATTTTTGATTACATCGATTACACCGATTACATTGTCAACTACACCGATTGCTTCAAGTAGGTGTACAAGAATAAACGCAGTTGGAACCAAGTCGGGTTTGTGTTATTCTCTGCTGCATTCTAGTTAGTGGTTTGATCCCGGTCCTAAGAGTTGTGACCGCTCTTACCCGCGAGTGAGTTGTCCTTTGAGTTTAGTTTCCCCAGTGTAGAAGACAGTTTCCAGAGTTCAAACCCCGAGTTCACGTTCGAAAGTGGAAAAACCTTCCGTCACAACTTTTTATACATCACATCTAAGGTGAAACAATACTATTTATCATACACAGACCTCGCACAGAATGCATTATTTCACAATTTTTCAAGACAAATTGCACTCAGTCAATACCTTATTATAGGAAATTAACGTCCACGAAATTAAGGTATTGGAAATTAACGCGAATTTAATGGAAAACGACTTTCGAATACAGAAAATTAACGCGAAAGAGAAGGTAGAATTTCATAATAAAGGAAATTAACGCGATTAAGACATAGTTGGTCAAAGGAGAAGATACTGACATCGCTTCTGACAGCGACAACGATGAAGATGAACTCGAAATATTGTCAACTTTCACCTTAGCTTTTGTGAAAGATGAAAAATAGAGGGTAAATGGAAAGAAAGAAAGCTAGTAGTTAATGTTTTTTAGGTGTCAAGAATGTCTGGACAGGTTCCAAAATTGGGGTTAAAATACCGGAAATTAAGAGCGCGGTTAATTAACGTCGCGGAAATTAATGCTCAACAAAATGAACGCGACTTAAATTAACGCGAATTTTAACGATTCGCGTTAATTTCATGTAGCGTTAATTTCCTATAATAAGGTACAGTATTCAGGACGATCAATCGTGGGCTTTCCGCCGTTCAAAAAATTTCCAAAATCACCTACACGGCCATCCGGTTCTCACTTTTGACAAATTTGCAGTGCGAGCTGTGGTCGAGTGTTTGAATGAACATTAATAGAAATACGCGTCGAAATAATAAAGCATTTATTACTTTTTTTTTTAATGGTTTTTCAACGATGTGTCATACGCGCGGCATTTTGAGTACGGCCTGCAAGCGATGTTTATAATCGACTGAAAACAAACGGCACAGCGATTAAAACTGCAGGAGAGACCACTAACAATCAATAAAAGTAATGTAATTCGGTGAAACATTCACAGACACAACAATTTTCAGGGGCACCCAACGAGAACATAGCTCAAAACCAGTTAAACGTAGCATTGTTAACGTATTTTAGTATTAAAACGGTAGATATAAGCATATTTTTATCCCCTTAATGCTCTTAACCCATAACCCCTTAGATAAAGCAAGTAACTAGACCAGAATTATTATGGGGAAAAAAGGGGTAAGAGATGAAGTACTCCAAATATGGACAGCAGGTCACTTTTCTCTACATATTGGTGTAACAGTCCGAAATCTACATGGGGAGAGGTGATAATCCTCTCTAGGGAGTGATAATCCCCCAGGATAGTGAGAGGCGATAATCCTCTCTTGGGGGTGATAATCCCCCAGGCTAGTGAGAAGCTAGGTGATAATCCTCTCTAGGGGTTGATAATCCCCCAAGGTTGTGAGTGGAGGTGATAATCCCCCTTGGGTACTGGAGAGGTGGAAAGACCTCTCTAGATGTCTAATTCCCCGGTTTAAGGAGTAACAAGAGTCTATGGGGCAAAGTGTGACCTGTATGGGAGCACTTCATCCCCACAAATACCCCAAAGGGGTATTCCCCATAGACGAACAACAGGAATTGTAGGGCTATTTCCAGAGTCAAATGTCACTTGAAACAATGGTCACATGGTACTTGAACATTGCGTGTAAGATTAGACTGGGCAAATGTCCCATCGACCTAGGTATCAGCTGAGGACTTAACCAGGAACAGCAGCAAGTTGGTCAGCGGCCTAAGACTTCCTCCACAGCAGATGAGGAGATATGCAATAACAAACAACAAAACAAAGGATCAGTCTGTGAATTAACCACAATTAGTTGACTAATTACACAAGCTGGATACAACTGGTGTATCTATCAAGTCAGGGCCAGATACTGAGATGTGGGAACCCAATATATATTGACAAAATTTTTAAACAATTCCTTATTGATAAATCGGAATACACATGCTCATGGTTGTTGTTTGTAAGCTACTAAAAGTAACTCTATAATTTTCTGGTTTCAACCCAATTACTGAAACAATGACAATAGTACATTCCGAGGCCCCTTGGGGACAACCACAAGAAGAAAGGTTAGCTCCAAAAGAGAGGACTCACCCAATAAGACCATTATCACGCAACAACAACACAACAACCAGGGTAAAGAGAGGTCCTAATCCTCTCTCTGGGGTCCTGATCCTGGTCCTGATTTTTTTTTTCTTGTATTTTGTATTTATTTTTTTTTTGTATTTTTTTTTGTATTTTTTTTTGTATTTTGTATTTGTATTTTGTATTTATTTTTTTATTTTTTTTGTATTTTTTTTGTATTTTGTATTTTTATTTTTTTTTTATATCTGCGCTTATATGTTGTCCCCCTGGGGACAACCACAACAGACCATCAAGTCCCCAGGCTACAGAGAGGTCCTAATCCTCTCTCTGGGATCCTAATTCCCAGGCCCCCCGGGGACAACCACAACAAACCATCAAGTCCCCAGGCTACAGAGAGGTCCTAATCCTCTCTCTGGGATCCTAATTCCCAGGCCCCCTGGGGACAACCACAACAGACCATCAAGTCCCCAGGCTACAGAGATGTCCTAATCCTCTCTCTGGGATCCTAATTCCCAGGCCACAACAGACCATCAAGTCCCCAGGCTACAGAGAGGTCCTAATCCTCTCTCTGGGATCCTAATTCCCAGGCCCCCTGGGGACAACCACAACCAGCCATCAAGTCCCCAGGCTACAGAGAGGTCCTAATCCTCTCTCTGGGATCCTAATTCCCAGGCCCCCTGGGGACAACCACAACCAGCCATCAAGTCCCCAGGCTACAGAGAGGTCCTAATCCTCTCTCTGGGATCCTAATTCCCAGGCCCCCTGGGGACAACCACAACCAGCCATCAAGTCCCCAGGCTACAGAGAGGTCCTAATCCTCTCTCTGGGATCCTAATTCCCAGGCCCCCTGGGGACAACCACAACAGACCATCAAGTCCCCAGGCTACAGAGAGGTCCTAATCCTCTCTCTGGGGTCCTGATCTTGGTCCTGATTTTTTTTTCTTGTATTTTGTATTTATTTTTTTTTTGTATTATTTATTTTTGTATTTTTTTTTGTATTTTTTTTGTATTTTGTATTTGTATTTTTTATTTATTTATTTATTTTTTTTGTATTTTTTTTTGTATTTTGTATTTTTATTTTTTTTTTTTTATATCTGCGCTTATATGTTGTCCCCCTGGGGACAACCACAACAGACCATCAAGTCCCCAGGCTACAGAGAGGTCCTAATCCTCTCTCTGGGATCCTAATTCCCAGGCCACAACAGACCATCAAGTCCCCAGGCTACAGAGAGGTCCTAATCCTCTCCCTAGGATCCTAATTCCCAGGCCCCCCTGGGGACAACCACAACCAGCCATCAAGTCCCCAGGCTACTGAGAGGTCCTAATCCTCTCTCTGGGATCCTAATTCCCAGGCCCTCTAGGGACAACCACAACCAGCCATCAAGTTCCCAGGCTACAGAGAGGTCCTAATCCTCTCTCTGGGATCCTAATTCCCAGGGCCCCTAGGGACAACCACAACCAGCCATCAAGTCCCCAGGCTACAGAGAGGTCCTAATCCTCTCTCTGGGATCCTAATTCCCAGGCCCCCTGGGGACAATCACAACAAGCCATCAAGTCCCCAGGCTACAGAGAGGTCCTAATCCTCTCTCTGGGATCCTAATTCCCAAGCCCCCTGGGGATAGCCACAACAAGAAAGGTGAGCTCCGAACGAGAGGACTCACCCAATAAAAACATTTTCACGCAACAATAACACAACAACCAGGCTAAAGGGAGGTCCTAATCCTCTCTCTGGGGTCCTGATCCCCAGGCCCCGAGAGGTAGTAATCCCTGAATGACGTCACTATCCTACCGAGATTTTTACTTTCACGATGCATTAGAGCAGCTGAAAACTAATTTTCAAACAAATTTTCGCTTCAAAAGGGGTCTTGGTTTTGTGATAGAATACACTTGAATTTCTAAGCTTTTGCGTGACGCGGAATTTACATGACGGCCAAGAGAGCTGTCATGTAGGTTTTAAAAAAAATGACTTATTTCAGGAAATTTGCTATCTAAACAGTTCGTGTATTAGAAAAAGTATTACTTTCATGTCGTTTATGAGTTTCTCGAAGGACAAATTCACCCTTTTGTAGCAAAACTCGGTAACAGATGTTTCTGTTGGTTTCCGTCCGCCATGTTGCATGGCGTCTCCATACAAATCTCTATAAGTTTAGGGAAAACATTTCTACGGACATCTCGTATACGAAATATTCCTCTGACCTGAATCTTGGTGAGGGTCTTTGTATATGTACCTCCTTTCATTTCAAAGATGCTGGACTTTATCTATTGAACGGTTTTGATTTTTATTTTGATCTATTTTGAATGGGGTGACACTGAAAACTAGCAATAATTCCTCTTTATGATCCGGAGAACGACGGAAATGTTTGATTTTTAAAGGAGCAGTCTGCACGTGCGAAGCATGAAACCGACCTTGATGATTTTCTGTCATGTATCATTCTCAACTCATAATATGTTAGATGTGAATAAAGAATTAAAACTGAAATTCAATCCAATATTTGAAAAAACCTCGAAGACCCAATCGTCACAGATTTGATTTTAACAGTCCGTATTCTTTCTTACTCCATAGTAAGAGCATAATAAAAGCACGGACATGCATACTTGAATCCCCGGGACTTGAATAAAATGAATTTCAGAGGCTGCGGCGCCAAGTCCCTCTTCATAATAATAAGTGAGCTCAAAAATAACTTTCCATGTCTGAAAGCGCTCAGTACAGTCACATGCACACAATATTGCAAACACAGATGTCGTTCGAGGCACAATATAATAAGAATATTAAGTTAACTATCGATAGACCAGAAAAATACCGCACCTG